GCATAATTACATTGTTAATAACAGTCACATTACTAATACATCCAGTAAATCCGCATCTACATTCAATTATACTGCCAATGACAACAACATTATATAAACACTTGCAAACAAACATAGCAAAACATAATTATACTGCTAATAACAGTCAAATTACATAACCAACCAACGAAATAACATATACATTCAATTATACTGTCAATAACACCAACATTATATAAACACTTCCAAAAAAAACATAGCATGAAAACAAAAATACAAAAAAAAAAAAAGAAACAATTATGCAAACAGACATTGAAAGCCCATACATCATGGTGTTCAATTTACTACAATTCAAACTATACATATCTCGATGTTGACATTCGTAATTTAAAAAAAAAACATTCGCAGATCAAAAAATTTGACACACCTTCCTTGAAAATTATACTACAGCAGATATGATCGGCGATAAAAGCTGGAGAGGACGGCCGGATAACAGTGAGATCCGATGTGAAACAGGTAGATGTAGCTCAGTTCCAAGATTTAGAGGTATAGAAAGGAATTCGGTAGAGACGAGACAGGAATCGCGCATAAAACATGAAAAACGGGCGTAGGGATTTCAATTTTCAGTTTATATACATGTGTAATTATGTCCGAAAAAATACCCTTGCCCTGATTTTAATAAACTTTTAAGTAGTGGGTTTTTTTTGCAAGACAAAAAAACTGGATTTACCTTTTTTAATTAAGTCCATGTGTCATGGGTCTATTTGCCATTTACCCAATACTTAGAACTTAGAAGTAACATGATGTGTTGTTTGGTTTTATTACATCAAGGAATCTCAACTTCTATATGCAGGGGTGCATCCAGACAATATTGTAAGGGGGCGATTTTTTTCGGAAATAATATATGTAGGTAGGTTAATTTTTCGGGTGTTAATTCGGGGGCAGCATTCCCGGGTTAATTTCTTTTAGAGTTATTCAAAACAAATTGCTAAAATTAGTATATATTTATAATATTTAGTTAAAATCTATGAATTTTAGTTGTATTATTTTATATTGTCATAACAACTAAAAAAATATCTAAATTTACACAAGAGAATAGAGAAGAATTATTTGCGGGGGCAAAAACACATATTTATAAATATTATGCCAAAAAGTAATTAAAATAATTGGTTTTATTTTTTCTTGGATGGGTGGTTGCCCCTTCCTTGTTACACCATTGTCTATAATCTATATGTCTACATCGATGTATATTTATTTGTATAGGTTTTGTAGAGTATAGGTTTGGTGATAGACGAAGAAAGAAGTGATTTGATTTTTAACATTTGTTATAAATTTGGTTTATCCGAAATGCCTAAGTTGGCATCCTTTGTTTCAAATTCCAATTACAAGATTATCATTTCCCTCAGATTTGGCTGCTCCAAGGTGTTTTTGGGGATGCCGCTGTCGTAGAAAATGGAGAAGGAATAAGAGATTAAATGGAGGGAAACAAGGAAGAACAAAAAAATTTAGTAATTTTTAGGTATTTGAAAACGCAATTATACCCCTACAAAAATTATTAATGTTATTTTGAAATAATGCTTGAAATAGATGTTGAGTTTTGGATATTCTGAGAGAGGAGAGAGCGTTTTTTTAGGGGTGCTCATAAATTCAAACTGTATCAAACCGTACCGGAATTTCTGTAAGTAAAAAGATTGTACGGTTTACCGTATCGAACTACTCCGCTCGCTATATTTTTTTACCGAATTAATTTGGCTTTTTCAGTTCGATACCGGTAAAATTGAAAACATATTTTCTTTTTTTTAAAAGGGGAAATATGCAAAACCCCCCTCAAACGAAAAATATTATGAGTTAAACTCATTTGATTTTTTAGACTTTTGCCCACACCCAAAGGTCAATCTTAATTAGTGAAACCCCCCTCAACAACTGTGATAAGACGAAACTACCCTTATTAGTAGTTTTTAAAATAATTGCAATATTTTATTTTCCATAACCGTCTCACGTGATTGTAGGATTACATTAATTCTCTCTTTATATCTTCCATATCTCTCTTTCGTTCTCTCTTTCTCACGCAACTTCTCTCTTTGTTTTTTTTTTTTTGTTCTTCTTCAGATCTATAATCCTCCATGACTCGACAATGGAGACAACTCAGCTGCACATGGCGTCAGCGCCGGGTTTCGATTCTCCTTCCGAAGAGCGGACGGAAAAAGAGGAGAAAAATCAAGTTTTTGAGACGTAGCAGTTTTCGTGCAAAGGCTAGATCGGAAGATCAGCCCGTCGGATCGGCTTGATATTTATATACAGGATTCATAACACAACAATATAATTTATGAATGGTGGAGATCGGAATCAAAATTCTCGAAATATAGATCGGATCTTAAAACTTGCTGTTGATTTTTTGTTAATGAATAATTCAGGGCAGCTAGATTGGACGCATTTTTCGTGAAATTGAACAGTTGGATGTGGCTGAAATTTGGGTAGAGTATTTGGAGTATATATTTTTATATATTGTACGGATGAGATTGAATTTGGTGCATTCTATCTCCGAATATAAATTGTGAAAGTATCACAATTTGGTGAGTTTTTTTTCATTTTTTAGTCTTCACTTTTTAGAGATTTTCCATTTAAAATTTTTTAGGGTTATTTGTGTTTGATTTTGATATTCCAATTGTTGTAAATTAGGCATTTTTTTTTGTTGAAAAGATGCAGTTTGAGCATTATTGAATATCCGATGAGGAAACTTCGGAATAAATGGTGGCGGTGGCTATGAAATGCACTAATGAAAATGGAGCAACTTGCAAGCCAAATGCCAAGAATTTGTTTCTTAGTCATATACATAATAGTCATATGTGATCACATATATAGTCATATTTAAGTTTGGTAATTGTTTCTGTGTGTTTCGATTTCTTTTTATTTTTTTGTTTTAATTTTTTTTTTCTACGAATGTGAACATATAGTTTCAGATTTAAGGAGCAACAATAACATGACTATAATCATATTCGAATATGACTATTGTTGAATATGACTGTAGTCATATTCGAATATGTTCTATCTTCTCGTTTCAAGATTCAAATTGTGATTTTCTTTTTGTGGATGTTGATTGGATTGTTTTCTTAAATAATAGGTAATCTTCGTTTTCTTTATATAATTTGATAAATATGATTGTACTAGACTATATAATCAAAAATTTTAAATTGAAAATGTAAAAAACTGCAATATAAATCAAGAATATGACTGTAGTCATATTCGAATATGACTATTGTTGAATATGTTCTATCTTCTGGTTTTCAAGTTGACTTCTAATAACAAGATTCAAATTATGATTTTTTTGTGTGGATGTTGATTGAATTGTTTTTGTAAATAATAGGGAATCTTCATTTTTTTATATGATTTGGTAAACATGACTATGCCATATAATCGGAATTTTTAAGTTCAAAATGTAAAAAATAACAATAAAAAGAAAGAATATGACTACAGTTTATAGTCACACATAGATATAGTCATAATCAACTATAGTCATATTCGGCGTTGCAAACTTGTCGATAAAAAATTTCAATTTTTTGTTTAAATTTAAAAAAAAAAATATTTAATAATATTTTTATTAAAAAAATATTAAAAATAAAAATAAATAAAAAATGGCTAAATAAAGTCCGAAAATAATATAAAAATAAAAAATAAAAAATAAAGTCCGAAAGTACTTTTTTTTTTTTGATTTGGTAGCAATTTATTAGGAATGTGGAACCATATTTTTAGGAATTAAATTGTTGTTATGGAAAGAGAGAAAAAATGAATAATTGAGATAAATTATACAAATTAATCCTAATTAGCGGGAGTTAGGTGCCTCGTTAATAGGAATTTTGTAAATACTGGATAATTATTAAAAAAAACGTGACGGGTAGTATAAGGGTAATATTGAAAATAAATATTCTAGGGGGTTTTTGAAGAATTATGGTATGAACATATCACCATTTTTTATCTATAGGAGGGGTGTATTGCTAATGACCCCTATTTAAAAAGGTAAAAACAAATATTTAAGCTAATTAATTCTTGAATTTGACATTCAAGTTTCAATAACCCGCCCTAAAAAAAAAAAAAAAGTGATTATCAATAGAGGCTAATTTAGAAATAATGGAAAAAATTATCAATATAATATATAAGCATTTATAATTTGTTAACCTTCAAGGATTTATAATAAAAGAATTCTTTTTTAAAAATATTTATGTATTCGGTACGGCACGGTGTACCGGACATCAAATCCATATACCGTACCGAATCCCGGAATTCAAAAAATAAATTACCGAATACCGAATCAAATTTTCGGTTCGGTGCGGTTCGGTAACTTTACTGACCGAGTGAACACCCCGACGTTTTTGTTACGTGGTAATTTGAGTAAAGAAACATAGTTCGAGAATTAAGAAGAAATCGAGAGATATGAATTAGGAGAATTAGAATTAGGAGAAGAATTAGAGACGAGAATTAAGAGAAGACAAAGGGAGATTAATTGATTCTTAAACTTCATAATACGTAACATTCTAATTACCCTATTTATAATACTCATAAATAATAATTAACTACCACCCCACTAACCCCTTAACCACACTAACCCACTAATTTAATTCATGCCCACTAATAAAAAACTACCCACTAACATATAATTTGACTAATTCTAATTAAATTAAATAATAAAACATGTCAGTTTTATCCTGACATAGGGACGATTACAACTATTCGTGGTCCAAAAAATACCAATTGAACAGAACACCTAAATTTTGAAACTACTTCACACAAGATCTTTAATACCAAAAATATCACCCGACCTGTACATGGGTGAAATTTGGCAACATGAACGTCAGATATATTAGAAAATATTGACGTCGAAAATTTTCAGAAAATCAAAATAAATCCAAAAATTACTAATCCTACTCTAATTTTTCATTTTCCAGCAAGTAAGTATACCAATTAATGGGCACATAAAGTGAGAAATATACGAGTATTGTGATTTGTGATGTCGGATCATCAAAATATAGAATAGAGTGACCGATAATATGATAGATACAAGAAACATAATATAATTATGCATAGAATACAAGTTCATATTTGGTTATTTATGATAAGGAACAGCAATGAGTGGTGTTTCTTTCCTCATAACAATCCCAAATTTCTCCGACAAGTCAATCTTTTGTCCCTCTGGCAACCCCCACTCGTACGTATGAACGAGTGTTGCCAACAAATACATTACCATCTTCTCAGCCAACGGAATACCAGGGCACACCCTTCTCCCCGACCCGAACGGAAGATACTCAACGTTGTTTCCAATGAAATCAAAATTTTCAGAGTTATCATTCAAAAATCTCTCGGGTCGAAATATTAAAGGATTCTCCCAAACATGCGGGTCCATGTGGATTGACCACATGTTCAAGAAGACCCTTGACCCCTTTGGGATTGTGTGCTCTCCGATTGGGCAAGATTCACTCGGATACCTTGGAACGAGGAGTGGCAATGGAGGATGTAGGCGGAATGTTTCCTTTACAACCGCTTCGAGATAGTGCAGTTTCGATACGTGGGATTCTTCAACGACGTTGTTCGCTCCTACAACATTTGTTACTTCTTGCTGCACTTTTTGCATTATACTCGGGTTGTGCAAAAGCTCGGTCATCACCCACTCGACCATCGTTGCCGTAGTATCGCTCCCGTCGGCAACAATATCCTATAATCAAAGAGCATATTTTATGTCATTTCAATGAAAGAGAATCACAAAAAGAGTTACATTGTTAGCTTGAAAGAGTATATTTGTCGTGACTTTGGATCACAAGAGGGTTTATGCCATTTAGCGGTTTTTTATCTTCAAATTTGAACACAAAAACTAATTCTCCTATATATTCAAGAAACAACAGAACTAGGGGCACGCATAAGCGCATTGAGTAGAGTTGTGTCTGAGCTTGGATTAATAAGCAATAGAGGTTAGCAGGAATCAAACTCGAGTAGCTTGATTTTAATTTTTTTTCCTAATCGATTCCCGACTCAAAGCGATCGAGTCTCAAATCTTATCAATAACAAAAGTATATGTGTTCAAGTTTGTTTCGTTATGTTAACAAATCGAGTACAAACAAGCTTTTACTGAACGACAGTGTCGAATCTAGCTTCGAATAAATTAAGAGACGGAGGGCAAACCAACAAGAAAATGAAATGAAGGAAAGTGGAGAAAATTACCATCAAAATCGCCTTGATTTGAGTTAAACCAAATGTTGAGCCTTCTCCGAGTTGCTTATCCTTGAGCTCCAAAAGAGTTCCCAGAAAGTCCTTACTCCTTTCTTCACCCTCCATACCACCACCGGCCGCCATGGTCTTGACTTTCGCATCAATAAAACAATCGAAAATTCGTTCCACCTCCACCACCACACCCCTCATTTCTTTCGCGATTCCCTGAAAATCAAACCTAGCCAAAACCGGAAAAAAATTGAGTTCGCCAATTTGAACAGGACTCCCGATTTTGGTATCGAGATTCCCGATAAGCTTCCGCACTTCATCCGTGCGGAAAACGTTGGATGCCTGGAGGTTGGTGTTGCTCATCATCTCACGAACGAACAGCTTCCGCATGTCGCGCCAGTAGGGACCGTTTGCCGTCCACACGATGTCGTACCCGCCCGTGGCGATTAGGGCCGAAACCGGCGGGTCCCGGTTCGCGAATGTCGAGTCATGATCGCGAACTATCTGCTTTATCAACGAAGGCGAACTTACAACGACGTAGAGTTTGCTTCCGAGCCAGAGGCGGTAAATGGGGCCGTACTTGTGAGACAATTGTGTGAACTGGTGGTGCAAGTTGGCTTTGAGAAACGGGAGGTATCCGAGAATAGGAAGGCCGTATGGTCCGGGCGGAAATGGTGGTTGTGTTCATGTTTTTGAGTTGCCAAGTACTACTATCCATGAGTAACAAAATAGGGACGCTAGAAGAAAAATGAAGGTTACGGCAGCAAGTCCAAGCTCATATTCCATTATGTTTTTTTCTTTGTTGCGCCAAATTAGTATTGTTAGTGCAAGGAATATATGCTAGAAATAAGAGGACCGCAAGAATTATTATAACAAGATATGAGAGTTATCTTTTTCCACTGTCGGCAGCCTCGATGCCTACACCCGATGTTTATCACCGGGTCCCTCTCCTGCTGCTGACATGTGGCATTATTTAAGTTTTTATTATTTTTGTAATTTTAATTAGGGTAAATTACAATCATCCCTGATGTATGGTCAATTTACGAAAAAATCATCTTATTTGGATAATTACATCTATCCATTAACTTTTAATGATTTTTTTTTATAACTTCACCCTTATGGTGTCAAATTCTACATAATCATCTAGATTTTGTGGAATGTGCTCTAGTGCGTACTCGTTTTGTGTAAAAATACAGTTTCTAATACACCCCCGGCGTTGACTTTTTTTTTTTTTTTTTACGTTGACCGTAATTGTGCTGTCATTGACAGTAAATTAACGTAATTATACTGACAATGGCACTTAATTAACGTAATTGTATTGACGTTGACAATACATTTATGTAATTGTTCTGCCGTTGACAGTAAATTAACGTAATATTATTATTTTTTTATTTTTGTTATTCTTTTATTTTGTTTGATTTGTTGACAAGTCAACATAATTATATTACTGTCGTTGACAGTAAAATAACTGTAAACACAATAATATTACTCTCAACAACATCATTGCACTGAGCTACTTTTGAGATCCTTTTTGCAACTTGGTCAAAATCCGGTTACAAAAAGACTTTATTTCATTATGCATGATCTTCTTCATGATCTCGCCCAATCAATCATGGAGAACAAAATTCCTGGAGCACAAGCCCAAAGGACGAACGTCAGAAGTGCATCTCACAGCAAAATCCGCCAGGTAAATTTGCAAAAAAAATTAGTTGCCTTTCCTACTGGTAATCAATCGGAGATGGACATGTCCTTTATCTTAAAGAATTTCTTTCGTTTGAGAATATTAGATGCAAGTTGGATGGGGATAAATGAATTGTCTTCTGCAGTAGGCAATTTGAAACATTTGCGACACTTGAAACAGTAGCCTACCCGACTCGTTATGTAGTCTATGGAATTTGCATGTTTTGAATTTGGATGACTGGGGAAAGCTTGAGATTTTACCGAGGAAGATGAAGTACTTAATTAATCTCCGTTATCTATTTTTGGAAAATTGTAACGCATTAAGTGTAATAAATATAATTTTGGTTTGGGAAATCAAGAAAAACAAAATAAAAACACTACCAAGCTTAAGTTTTATCTCTGTTCCCAACACACATTAATTTGTTTCTGTTTAATAATAATAAGAACCCACTTCTTTTTCATTGGTAAATGTAATCCATCTCTATTCTGGAAGGAGGTGTGGTTGAATTTTCATATAACTGGTGTCGCCATAAAATTCTTATCAAGAAATTTGAAAATTTGCAGTAAGAATTATCGATTCTAATACATGGTGTTTTGATCCGTGATGATCAATTTAAGATTTTATTATTGGTGTTCCATTAAAATAGTAATATATGAATATGTGTGAAGAAAAATTCACATGAGTTGTCAAGATTCATCTTTTCATCTAATTTTATACTTGAAGATGTAGGTGGAATATTAATGAAACTAAAAATAATAAAAAGAATTGGGATTGCAATTTTCTGGTTGAGTTTGATTTCAGATTTTCTTAGTTCCATTGAAAACCCACACCTTCTTCCAATTGCAAAGATGGATTAATAATGGATCGGAGAAGAACAAATAAATTCTTATGAGAAAAACAATCTGTATATCTTTGTCTTCGATAATATCTTTGATGGGGCCACCGGGGACCGCCAGATGTAGTGGTGGTGCAAGAAATGACGACGTAAGAGTAAATTTGATAAAACCTTCGATCTGTGAAAATTTAAGTCTTTTTTTACTTTAATTCAATTTAAGTGATAACAAGAGTTATAATTAACAAAAAGGCTCCTAACAAGGTTATTTAATTAAAAAAACAATTTCCAACTTTTTTGTCTTTCAAATATTTTCAACACAACTTCGATTTTACACCTCAATTTTGTCAATTTCACCAATTAACTAATTACTCTAATTTCGATTTTGGCCCCACTTTTGACCCACTACCACTGGAGATCGCCGGTCTCCGGCGTTGTTTTTTTCTTTTTTCTTGAAACCTGTTTCCAGCAGTTATTTAACTGTCGGAGACAGTAATTTAATTCTCAATTGACTTTTTTTCTTAAAAAAGTATTTTAATTAATATTACTGTCTTGGCTGATAAATTACTGTCTCCAACAGTTATTTAACTATTGGAGATAGTAATTTAACTGTTAATTAACTTTTTTTTAAAATTTTATTTTTTCTTAGAAAACAATATTTTAATTAATATTAATATCAGGGCTGCTAAGTTACTGTCTCAGATAGTAATTGAACGATCTGAGACAATTATATTACCGTATTAATTAATTTTATCGTCTTAGCCTGCATTTTTGTTGTCTTCGACTGTAATATTACTGTCTCCAACCGTAATATTACTGTCTCATGCAATAATATTACTTTTTGCGACAGTAGTATTAGTAATGTTATTGTTTGGGAAAATAATATTCATAATATTACCGTCCCAAACAGTAATACTACTGTATGACACAGTAATTTCATTAGCAGCCAAGACAATAATATTAATTAAAATATTTTTTTCTAAGAAAAAACAAAATTTAAAAAAATGAAAAAGAAAAAAAGGTAAACGCCGGAGGCCGGCCGGAAAAAAAATTCAGAAAAATTGTGTTTTCAAGAAAAAAAAAAAAAAAAAGTCAAAGCCAAAATCTGGTCGGAAAAAATATTATTTTCTGAAAAAAAATATTTTTTTCAAAAAATTATTAAAATGGGTGTTAATGTGATATATTTGTTTAAATCCAGAGTCAATATGTAATATTAAAAAAAAGTTAAGTTTAATGGATGGAATTGATAAAAAATATATTATGGAGGGTATTTTGGACTAAAGACATGAGAATGAGTTTATTTGAAAGACTGTTTTTTTTTTTTACCAATGTGCATTTAAATCCCTTATCATGTCTCTTTTTGACATTTGCCCTAATTAAAATTACAAAAATACAGTTAAACCTCTATAAATTAATACAGCTGGGACCATCAAAATTTCATTAATTTAGTGCAATATTAACTTATCGATAAATTAATAATTATTAATTCATATATTAATTAATAACATATTAATTTATGAAATTAATTTTATTATTATTTTCAAAATACATTTTTTTTACGTGTATATTAAATTCACTGTACCATTAGTTCAATGCACTCTAGAGTCCGTTTAACGAACGGAAGCTCTTAAAGTAGCAATGACATAGAACGATTTTATGTTGAGTTATGAGAAAACTATACCGAAAGTTCTAACCATGTTAAGAAAAGGTGAGGGACGAGATTGATGGTAATGTGAACTTCAACAAGAACAAGCGACAATTAAATTATATCGTTTTAAACCTTCATGGATCTATAAAATATGTATTGTACTATGTAATTTAAAAATTATTTTTATCCATTATTAATTTATATATTATATGGGGCTTCTTAAAATTTTCAAATGTGTATTATCTTATAAATTTAGCGAACTATTAATTTAGCACGTTGTCCCCGAGTCAGAACCGGGAAAATTTATTATTTAAGCGAAATTATTAATTTATCGAGTATTAATTTATCGAGGTTCTACTGTAATTAAAACTTAAATAATGCCAGATGTGGGATCCGGTGATAAACACTGAGTGTAGCCTCAAGGCTACACACATGTTTTTCTCTCGCCCACATATTATCTCTCTCTTCCCCTGTTTTGGATATGAAAGAATAAATATGTGGCTTGGAAAGCAAACAATAGAAGATAGAAGACGGCGGGTTCAACAAGTCAAATGGTTCATTATTATGCTACAATTAGGATTCAAACCAGGTTCATTATTACACTAACCACCAGATCATTTTGATACGATATATTATTTAATTATATTATTTAATTATTAGTTAGTTAATATTTTATTATTAATTAATTAGCATAGTATATTTATATTGAATATAGCCATACGTGGGTTTAGGGTTAGGAGGTTTAGGATATATATTAAGTAGTTAATTAGTATAGGTAATTATGTTTCCTAGTTAGATTAGGATTCTATGTTTTATTATCTTTAAATAGTCGTTTTGTGCTAGGGTTTTATAATGAAGAGAGAAATATTAAAGAATAGATCTTACGTTTCGTAGGAAATACTTATGATACTCAAGAGATCGTATCAATTGGTATCAGAGCGAAGTTGCGATTAACACCAACGCTTCGTTAGCAAGGCAGCGATTACATCAAAGCTACGCTGGAGCAAAGTTGAGATCACATCAAAACTTTGTGAGAATCATGATGTCAGAAACAAGACGGTTGGAGCGATTGGAAAAATCCGTAGAGAAATTACGGATTAATTTTCAGAAATTGCTTGAACAAAGTCAAGGACGACGTCAATGCCATCATCAAAGCCGAAGGGACCGCCGCCCATCACCCCCGCTGCCGCTGCCGAGCCTATCGTCGGAGGAAGAGGAAGAGGACGACGATGAATTTTTCAAAGAGCCACCGCCGCCGCCGCTGCCGAGCCTATTGTCGAAGGGAGAGGAAGAGGACGACGATGACTTTTTCGAAGAACACCAAATTTTTGTGAGTTCGCCAGAAGAAGAAGAATCGGATTCAATTGAGATAAAGTGGGACGAAGAGCCGAAAGAAGAAGAATCGGAGTCAACTGAGATAAAGTGGGACGAAGACGAGAAATTAGTGAAGGAGGAGAACGAAGAATTGCATGAAATTTTGAAAGAATTTCATAATTTTAAGGAAGATCCAATTTTACATG